AAAAAAAAAAAAAAGAGAACGTGAACCACGAGGATTGCCGTGCGTATGGCCGTTGGGCCGTTTGTACAGGTAGCATATGTGCATTTATTTGATTATTTCTTTAATGTAATCAAGAGCAAATTTTCTAAATATTGATTTTAATAAAGTTAAAAGAGAAACAAGAAGTAGACGGGATCACTGATTCACGTTTTTAATTTTAAAAATATATTTATTAAATGCAATAAAATTTTTATTTATATATTTTAAGATTTATTTAAATTTTTATAAATGTGAATATGTGATATTCTATCATGATCAATTATGTCATATTCTTGTTTAATTGGTTCTTTTACTCATAAAAAAGAAAAACTCATATTGATATGAATTTATCTTTGACTCTAATATAAGTTTTAAATGGATAAATAGTTAAATAAGTTTTGATACCACTTATTATAAATATATACTTTTAACTTAATATGTTTATTAAGTTTACATATGTTGTTATTAATAAGTTAAAAGTTCATCTCATCTTTTAATGATACGAATTCGTAACACAAGTGTAAATTATAAGTTTAAATTTTTGGACATGCTAAAAAATATTACATGCAGGTTATTGATATTAGATAGTTTTCTAATACTTTTTCGGTAAATTAATATATAAATTAGTAATTTAAGTTATTAAAAAATTGCATGCAAATTATTGAAATTTTAGATACTTATATTGGAATATTATAACTATTATTGAAATTTCAGATACTTATTTAATTTTTTAAATATATATATTTTTTCAATAATATACCTATGCTATTCTGTTATTTCTAATATTGTACATAGAAAATATAAAAAAAATAAAAATACTGACCGAGGACTTCTACAACTTTATAGCTCCATATTCTGTACATAAATCTCCAAGAGCTTAGCCTATATATTCCTCTAACGAGCTTGAACCATGGTGACTGTCACATCATTTACAGAGCTTGTGCCTTCGCTACTCCATGTCTCGTCCCCTTTGCGGCCTTTCTTCATGATGAATGCTGGTTGTTTCGGTGGAGCAAGAACCGTTTCATTACCCAACATAAACACAACAGTTGATATAGTGGGTCGATCTGTTGCATGTTCTTGCACGCACAGCAAACCAATTTGAATGCATTTCAAGAATTCACTAGCAGGATATGAATCACCTAATGTGGAATCGATGACCTCCATGGCTCTGTCCTGTTTCCATAATTCCCAAACCTGGAACAAATTTGTGTCGTCAAGAGTAAGTGGAAAAAAATTTAATTGCTGGAACTTGGAAGAGTTGATGGTTGAAATCTGTTCACTTACATGCCCGACTAGATTTGAAGACGGGCTATCGGGATAGTCACCGCTGTTCTTTCTGCCGGTTATGATCTCTAACAGCAGGACTCCAAAGCTGTATACATCAGACTTCATCGAAAAGTGTCCTTCCATTGCATATTCTGGGGACATGTAACCACTGAAATCACATAACAGAAAAAGGAAATTGTTAGAACTTGGTTCGGAATCTGTAGCAGAACTTGTCTGCAACATTGCAAATGCAACGCTTACTATGTTCCAACTACGCGATTCGTATTTCCTTCAATTTGGTCTCCTCCAAATATTCTGGCCATGCCAAAATCTGAAATTTTTGGGTTCATTGCAGCATCTAGTAAGACATTGCTGGCCTTCAGATCTCTATGAATGATTCTCAACCTTGAATCCTGATGGAGATACAATATTCCTCGAGCAACCCCGCAAATTATTTCGATTCGCTTTTTCCAGTCCAACGATGACCTTTTCGTTTCATCTGGATTTGAAGTCAAATTTTTGAAATCGAATCATGCAGAGCTAAAAATTGAATTAGGTGGCGTACGAGAAAGAAGACTTACCAAATATAATAGAATCCAAGCCTTTGTTTGGTAAGTATTCATAGATTAACATCTTCTCTTCACCCTCAATGCAACAACCCAGGATCCTTACAAGATTCCTGTGCTGAAGTTTCGCGATTAGCACAATTTCATTCTTAAACTCTTCAACTCCCTGTCCTGAGTGCTTTGATAGTCTTTTCACTGCTATTTCTTTTCCATTGAAGAGCACACCCTGCAAGCACAAAATTTCTTCTAAGAATGGACTAAATGGAGACATTGCACGTGGACACAGATATTAAGACAAATTACCTTGTAAACAGTGCCGAAACCACCTTGTCCAAGTTTATTATCGGAAGAGAAATTATTTGTGGCTGCAGCTATGGTGCTCAAATCGAAGAATGGTAAGTCTGCTCTTCGACTGCTCTCGTCAGTATCCTTTCCATCTGCAGAGTCTTCGAACAGTGATGAACTTCTAGCAAAGCTAAAGGTATTTTTGCTTTGTCTTCTTTTTCCTGGTGTCAAATACAGCACCATGATTAAGCCAATTGCTTTCTACATAACGTGTAGTCAATTTAGTTGCAAAATCTTATTTGGCAAGATTAAAATGTGAATAAAAAAGAGGTTTAACAAATAAAAACAATGGAAGCAATATGGTACCTCTTCTTTTCCTTCTCACCAACCAGGACAAAAAGGCCACGACAATGAGAGACACTACAGCAGCAGAAACTATGATGACTGCAAGTACTCCCTTCTTTTGAAGTGGACCTTTCTTTGTGTAGCGAGCTAACAAGAAGAAGGCAGATATGATGTGTAATTATATTGCAAATGCAAGAAACCAAACACGGAAGTAATTCTGACAGAAATGATAACAGAGAAGCCTGGCCTGGCTAAGTTCTAGACTGCGGCCACTTTGCAAAAGCAATTTCCTAGATAATTTTTACTGACAGTAAAAATATCTGTCTATAGACCAGAAAGTTCATACAGGCAGTCCTATTCAGAAGTGAATGTCTTAATTAATACAATCTTAGAGAAGTCAATTCCTGACAGATAAGGAAGTAACTTAGCTGCAACTTGCATGTAGATATTTGCTAGTAGATACTGTATTTGTTTCCAAAAGGAAGTTGAACATAAATGCATACCCAACTCATCTGCATCCACTCGTATGTAAAGATCTTGTCCCGCAGCTGTATATGTTCTTGCATCAACCAAATCCCCGTGCCATGTCAAGCAGCCAATCCCTCCCTTGCTCTCATGGTATGCACTAGCAAAAGCCACGCAAGAACAATCTCTCAAGCACTTCTCCTCGCAGCGTTTCAATCCCAAACTCATGTCTACACGTGCCGCCGAAGTGTCGGGCACCTTGACACGTGCCACCTTCACGAACCCTTCTCCATTTCGACACGTGGCCGAGACATTACCCTTCCTCACGCATCCTCCTGCCCCATTTCGTATATACCATTCTTGGGGTGACTTGGGCTTGAATCCGGGAAAACAATTGCACTCGAAACGCTCTGAGTTATCTGGGTTACAGTAACCGTTTGGCCCACAATGGCCGTACAAATCACACTGCTCCTTTGGGGCTGACCAAAATCCAATCCATTTATGCGCTTGATTACTCCATGTAAATCTTTCTTGAATTCCCGTTTCATTGGTTATCATTCTTGTGATGATAGAGGCGTTAGTCACCCCGTACGTGATTGATACTTCATCGTCAGTGTTAACGAAGGAAACATTAAATATGTAGTTTCTTGTCATTTCAGGTACACCACTCCATCTTTGCCCGGTCCATGTCCCGGTTCGCCACCAAAGAGCCGAACCCTTGTACAAAGACAATTGAGGAAACCCGCTGGGGTCGATTTTGTAGGAAAAGTCTCCAATTCCTGGATCATCCGGTGACTTCCAACACGTCAGGAATCGGTTCAGACCAGTTTTGAAACTCAATCCAAGTTTCATGAATGGAAGCATTGTATTTGTGGGATAATCAAAACTCTGCCACAGCACCGCCCTTCTGCTATCATTCTGAAGCAAGACAAGATTTCCTGAATCTAAAAGCTGCGCAATAGAATTCCCGGTGCCTGTGATGGAGACGTTTGTAGACCAGACAGGATGTGTTTGGTTTCTCCAGAACAGGGCAAGATTTCCTCGACTGTCGATTGAAAGGATCCCTGAGCTATCATTTATAGGCTTCTCTCTGTTTGCCACCCAAACAACGGTCTTCTCTGAAACCTGATTATACCAGATGCCAACATATCGATTACTGGAACTTCCAGGGCTGAAAAATCCGAGTGCAAAAATCTTGCCACCAGAAACTATGACCTCGCCATCTTTAATGAAGTGATCTATTGTTATGGTGTCAGTAGAAAAGGAGAGATGAGAAAGAAAGAAAAGAAGCAGTATTCTGACAAGCCATTCAACAGGATTCATGGCTGGTTCACTGTGACACTTTGACTAGGGAGTTTTTAAAGAAAGACTTAATGTGGCGAAGCAGTTGGGATCTCATTAATAAGTGGATCCCTCTCAGCACTTTACTTGTTAAGACTAATAAATGACAGGCAAATTTCAAGCATTGCTCGTAAAATGACACATTTTCCTCTTACTTTTCCAAATACCAAGATATAAAAAGATCAAATTTCTAGCTGGAATTTTTTTGTCTGTTTGCTAGTCATGCGAGGGACCTGATCAGGAAGCTGTGAAAATGGCAAGCTCCTCCTGAAAACCCAATCCTGCTGGAGGAATTAGTGCCACTCAAAAGGCTCATAATTCCTCTCCTGATTTGCACAGGAATATTGGCTCATCCTAGTGCATGCCCCTAGGCATGGGAAACCCAAGCACCTAAAGTCGAAATTCTTAATTTTCTAGGAAATTTTGGACCACCCAAAACCTGAAATAGTAAGCTATATGTAAAAGTAAAACCAGAAACCTTTTATATTGTAATACTAATTGCTTTTTGTCAGTCTTTCAATTTGCTCCACTCAAAGCAATTAATAATCAGCTCTGAGGAGTTTTATCCTAATTCTGATGGTTAAATTCTCTTAATTCAGTACTTGATGATTAGGATCTTGAAATTATAAATTTTATCTTCTCTTGTTCATAACCTAAAGGTCAAAAAAGAGAAAAGAATTATAGTTAATAATTAGGCACAAGATTATATTAAATAAAACCCTTTATCTTACGTGTGAGACTTGTTTCTTTTTGCCGTAAGGTTCAATTTCAACAAGACTGAGAAGCAATAGCAACGACTTTCTTGGACAAGTCAGTTTCATTAATATATTGTTATAAATACTAATTAGGTAGTCCCTCCATTTCAAAGGAAAGAAAACTCATCTCCGTACATGGAATCTCATTTCCTTCTGTTGAAGTGGCGCCACCTCAAAGAGAGAGAGAGGTGGGGAAGCCTTGTTGGGGGTCATGTTGTACCCAGGCCTTATGCCTTGTAAAGAATGGTCCAACGCGGGTGGCCGCGAGGGTGGTTGGCTGGTTGATGCGTGGGCCTAGAGTTAATTGAACTCTACCAGAACCGACGCTGTCCAAGATTCCAAGAAATGAATGTTTCTTCGGCTCAACTCAAACCAATGGAATTAGTTTTGGGTTAGGCCATGAATCCAGATTTTACACCCAGGGTTCTAATTAGGAACTCTGAGCCCGAAGTGTAAGCCTACAAGACTGCAAGTCAAGCCTTGGATACCTATGGGCCATAGTGTCTGAGGACAGGCCCATATATAGTCTCAAACATTCCTAGAAATCCATGCCAGGTTCAATGCATACATGATTTTGAAACTGACGCAACAAGTAGCATCGAAACTCATTGTCATGCATATAGAAAATTGTCATGCATATAGAAAAACAGTTTAAACAACAAAAGCAAGTTAGAGCAAATATATAATAACGGATTAGAATTGTAATTGTCATGGTCTAACCTATGGTGTGAATTCTGATTTTGTCTTATAAGTATTTTATGGGTTAAAAATAGTGTGAATTTTTATATATTAAATATCATTGTAATACATAGTTAATATAGAATACATAGTTGTCTTTTTTAAAACTATAATATCATCTCTTATTTTCTATTAGGAGTTTCTCTTCAATGTGTGATTTTGTTATTCTATTCGTTGAAAGCATTATCTCAACGATATGAGATTTAAGTTTACGTAAAAACTGTGACATTCTCTCCCACTTCAACAAGGGTTCATTGTCCTCACTCCACAGTGGCACATCGTTAGTACTCACAGTTTGCTCTAATATCAATTGTCACGGACTATGCCTTCTTCACTTAAATACACGATAGTCTGTGAAGCTCGATTATATTTAAACCATTTTACTATATATTTCCATCCAAACTAGCCAATAGCTCGATTATATCTAAACAACATGAATAATAATTATGAGTTAAGTTATGAAAAGTAAAATTAAAATGAAAAAAATATATTAAATGCCATATATGCAATCATTGGTCTTATATAAAAAATATATTTTATTAATATTGAAAATAGGTATAAAGGGACCAAGAGAAGAAATGTGCCATCGCCAGGCTATATGGGCAGCCTTAGATGGTTAGCCACAGACACATTTAAACCAATGAGATAATCTAACAACCAATCAACAGCTCATTTTATATAAAAGCTTTATGAGATTTTATAATTACAATACTTGAGATGGGGAGATTCTTTTTCTAAATGATTTTCTCCAAAAACTTAACAAGTATATTTAGAGATGTTACTAAATACTATTATAATGTTTGAAAGGAGACATTTCTCTTAAAAGTATAAAAAATTTAATTTTTTAAGTAATTTTATCCTATTATAGTCCTATACAAGGTTGACTCGTGACACTAACCATTGCCCGTTGTTTCATAATTGGAAAAGTTCTCGGGACCCTTTTTAAGCTCCGGTTCAATATTCCCATGTGCTTGCTTGTTAGTTCTCCAGTAACATCTTTATCCTTTCTGGTAAGGTTTACCTGTCCAGCACACAGACATTTTATAATCACTTACAACATACAGCTATGCATACAAACAAATTCCCAAGAACCTTGATTCTAACGGAGCACTACCTATCACAGCAATAAACACAGAAAAAACATATCATTACTGATACCGGACGTAATAATCTTGGGGAGATTAGAACCCCATTAAAATGAACAATAGCCAAATTTCCACTAATTATTATTGTATTCCCATAATATTTGACCAAACATTTTACTCTAATACTTGGATACCACCAATTGATCCACATATGTATGAGAAATTTAATTTACTTTTGAAAGAATATACAGATAATAATTCTAATGATGACTTTGTTGGTGTGTGGTAATATTTTTCTCCACTACTGCACATTCGATTGCGAGACATTCAATAACCATCAACATCCAAATAAGAAAACCCATTGTCCACTCTCTCGAGTCAATCTATGTTTGATTATCTTTTGACATATTCTAATGCCTACTGGTATTCCACCCCACCATGATTTCCATCAGGCCATAGGCCATAGGCCATAGGCCATAGTTTATCATGTTTGTTTTGTTTTCTTGGAGTGTGTGGTAAAAAAAAACTAAAAAACTATATAATACGCAATTGACTGCCTAGTCCATATATGTTTGAGAAATTCAATGCCTTTTTTCGAGAGAAAATGTAAATAGTAATTTTGAAGATGACTTTGTTGATGTGGTGGCCATACTTTTCATCCCAGCTGCACATTTGCTTACGGGACATTAAAAAAAATCAAATTCCATGTAGGAAAATTCACAGTCTTCCCTGCCAAGCCCATCTACGTCTAGCTGTCTTTTGACATATTCCAATGCCAACCGGTGTTCCACTTTACCTTTTGTTTATTTCATTCGCCACTGTGGTTGACGTGTGATTGACGTGCTGATGACCTGCGATTCACGTGCAGTGCAAAAAAAATTACACAGTACGCAGTTGAGTGCGATTGATGTGTAATCAAAGGAATTAATATAAATAATTTTGAATAATAAATAGAACCATTGAGAATATGCAATTACAGTTTTTGAAAATAAAACTACAACATTTTTAGACTTCAATTATGATGCTCAAAAGTTTAAACAATTTCAAGTAATTTTGAGAAAATACGCTGATGAAATTGAGGCAACTTGGCGTCTATCTTGCACAGGTAGAAAAGGTCCACTGACTCAAAAACTGACAGGAAAGGCAGAATTTAGAAGAAATACTAACGGAGCTGGAGGTTAGGTCTGTCATATTAAGATTTGGAATCTTTTTGTACTGATCTTAAATCAATCCATTTCGGTTATGTCCAATAGTGATGGATAGCTTTGAGTTTTCAATTAGACATCTATTTTTCCTCAACTTCTTGCATGAGAATATTGATAAGGTTTAACGCAAAAATTAAATGTTAGTGGATGCTAACGACCCTCTAATAGGGTGACAGTCATCTCATTCGAAATTAGTTTTCCAAGGGATGATGACTCTGTCTCTGAAAGGCTCCTCTCTGCATAAAACCCAGGTCTTCCAGGTTGAGGTAATGACATGCTCTCGCTATCTAGCATCAATAGCACAGTTTGCATTACTGGCCTATCTTCTGGCCTCTGCTGGACACAAAGGAGCCCCACCTGTATGCATCTTCTTGCTTCATGTTCAGGATACTCTTGTTCCATCAATTCGTCCATAAATTCCAAGGCCTTCTCCTCATTCCACAATTTCCATGCCTAAATGATAGAGTACTTGTTGGGTTAAAGCATTTCTGCAGAAATTGAACATATGAGAATTGATTTCATTGAACACTTACATGCCCAAGGAGGTTGAGTTTGTGGTCAGGATGGAAGAAACCCCGGTTCTTCTTTCCGCTCACTATCTCCAACAGTATAACACCCAAGCTGAAGACATCGGATTTCAAAGAGAAGTTTCCATCAATTGCATACTCTGGAGGCATATACCCACTGCATCCATCACCAAAGACAATGGTATAGCTTTTAGCTGTAGAATTCAAAATTCTAAACGCTTGCTGCAGGTAGACCATCATACTTACTAGGTTCCAACCACCCTCTTTGTATTTGCTTCAGTTTGATCTGCACCAAACATTCTTGCCATTCCGAAGTCTGAAATTTTGGGATTCATCTCGTTGTCTAAGAGAACATTGCTGGCCTTGAGGTCCCTGTGGATGATTCTCAGTCTTGAATCTCTATGAAGGTAAAGAAGCCCACGAGCTATTCCAACAATGATGTCATGTCTTCTTCTCCAGTCAAGTGAAGGTCTCCTTGTTTCATCTGCAGCCATTGTACGTCAAGTATAGTTTGATTATCTTGATCTAGAAATCAAAAGGGCTCCACACCGCTGGCTAACTTGAATGCGAAGGTTACTGTATACGTAAAGGTATAAAAGATACAGCAATGGAGAAATGAATAGAAAGTTGAGATATACCAAAGATTAAGGAGTCTAAACTTCTATTTGGCATGTACTCATAGATTAACGTTCTCTCTTCCCTTTCAATGCAACAACCTAGAAGCTTGACCAGATTTCTATGTTGAAGTTTGGAGATCAAAATGACCTCATTTTTGAACTCCTGAAGGCCCTGCCCTGAATTCTCTGCAAGTCTCTTCACAGCTACTTCTTGCCCGGACTGTAGCTCACCCTATAAATTATTTCAAAGATTATTTAGTAACAGTTATGATCAAAAACAGAGAAGAAGAAAGAAGCTATAGATTAGAAAATGAAAGAAACATGAGATTAAGAAGTTCTACAGCGAAGAAATATGCAGTCTCGATGCTTGTTGGAAAAATCATACAGCTTGTTGTATACTTTTGATTGAAATGCTCTTCAGGTGTATTATTATATTAACAGAAGTTTTAACATACGTGTAAGAAGTAAAAGCAGGTGGCCAAGAAATAGTCTAAGACAGATTTCTACCTTGTATACTGGTCCAAATCCACCTTCTCCAATCTTATTTGCAGCAGAAAAGTTGTCAGTAGCAGCTTGAACAGTGGCAAATTCGAATAAGGGGAGTTCAAGGTCCTCCTGACTTTCAACTTTGCTAATGGTCACTTGATTTTCTGGCTGGTTAGCTGTTAAGAGGAACAAGGGCAAGCCAATACAAATGAATTAAGAAAAATAGTAAAACTGTGATAATACCAAGGATCATGCAAGACTTTACCTCTAATTATCTTTCGCTTCCAGATCACAAACCAGCCAATCAAAGCCAAGATGATCATTGCTGAAGCCACTGATATACATGTTGCAATTATTACATTCTTCCTCTTGTTCCTTGTATCAGCATGTAACGCTAAGAATAGAAAAGAAAAAGCGGAAGTTCAGAGAATATTTCTTTTCAAAGACCAAGGGTGGAGATTATTCAAATAATAACTGAAGTAAATAAGTAAAAGAACATCAATGAGGCAAGACATCCCCTGCTTCAGGCAAAGCTAAAGCAGGACAATGATTGCGTGCCTTTATTTGTTGAAAAGGAAGAATTTTGGGATTTAGCTAAAGAATTCTCACCAAGTGCAGAAGCTGACATTCTTATATAAAGATCTTGTCCATAATCAGGGACTTCTCTAATATCAATTAGTTCTCCATACCAGGTTACACAGCCGTTCCCTGTGCCTCTAATGTCAAACTTAGCATAAGCAGCACAAGAACAATTCTTCAGGCACTCTGCCTCGCAATCTTCAATCTTCATACTTACATTCACCCGAAACTGAGATGCATCTGGCAGTTTCAACCCTGTAAATTTCACAAACCCCTCTCCTTCATGGCATATACGTGGATCCTCTCGTACACATCCACCTGCCCAATCGAGAACTTCCCAATCTTTGGATAATTTGGGCTTAAAACCCTTCAAGCAGTCACAATTGGGAGACTTGTTAATGTTGCAGATACCATAGCTACCACACAAGCCATAATTATCACATCTATCTTCTTGAACTGTGAATAGGAGATACCAATTAGAGTGGCGATCGTTCCAGGAAAGGTGCTGAACTGAGCCAGATTGACTTAACATAAACCTTGATGGGATATTGGCTGTTATATTATATGAATAGTACACTTCATCAGCATTGGAGACAAATACCGGAGTAAAAACTGGGTTTACCTTCAAAACTGGAACACCACTGAATTGTGTTCCATACCATGGTCCACTTCTGAACAGCTCAACCGATCCCCTTCGAAGAACAAGTTGAGGAAGTCCACGAGGATCCACACTATAAGTATATTCTCCAAGAGAAGGATCATCCGACCTTTTCCATGATGTCAGGTATCGGTTCAGACCAGTTTTCTTGTTCCATCCTAGTTTCATGCCTGGTAACAATGTATCGGATGGATAGTCAAAGCTTTGCCATATGTAGCTCTCATCATTGTCATCCCCCGCATCTTTCACAACAAAATTTCCAGTATCCAACAGCTGCGCAACTGGCATTTTAGCCGTCCGGGATGAATTCGAGGACCAGATAACACTCCCTGATTCATTGACAACGGCCAGTCTTCCATCGTCACCGAGTTTTAACAACCCGGAAGAATTTATAAGTGGGAATTCTCTGTTTCCGACCCAAACATACGTCCGAATCGGAAGATTCTTGTACCATATCCCTAAATATCGACCACTAGGATTCCCAATCTTAAAGAAGCCTAGTTCAAACTTCTGGCCTGGAGAAACGATCGTCTGGCTGTCATTGATGGAGTGAGCTGGAGTTATGGTATCACCTGCAATCAAATGTTCTAACAACGAAGATACTACAGATAGAAACAAGAGGCTGCCCTTCAATTTTCCCATAAGTTTGTTGATCTTCCATCTCACTACTTCAAGTTCAATTCGAAGTATTTAGCCGTTTTCACCCCCCCGTGTGAACCGTCAAGTTGGAGAGTCCTAGGCATGCAATTGACTACTTGAATGCAGAAAACTTGTTTTAGTGCGGAGTAGTTGGATAAGGCGGGCCCAGTCCCTGGGCCTTCTTCCCTCCTCTAAAGCAGCCTACCACAATTTAATAAACAGTTGGTTTCTTGGTTTAAATAGAAAGGAATCAACAAACAGTTGTAGACTTTGCACCCTCTCTCGATTGCTAAGTCTGGTACTTGTAAAGAGAGAATTTAAGCTTGGATATTATTCCTTGTATATAAGCTTTCTGCTTTTATTCCAAGATGGTGATGCTATTATTAATGATGCATCCAATGGCTGTGTGATCAAATTAAGAAAAATCAAACGAGGTTTCATTAAATAATTGTCAATGTGGAGGATATATCTAACGAAAATGAATAGACTAGGTAGACTAATTAAATGTCTAAATCACATGATCAAAGCTTGGAGACAAACTTGGTATGATGGTCATTTCTCATTTGGTTATTGGTGTAGCTTTTGAAAGATGATCCTTTAGGTATTGTTAGGCCTAAAGCCTCTTTCATCCTAACCCACATTTCTCTTAAATATAAAGAAATAGAATAACTTTGAATTGAGAGTATTTTGATAATTTTATTGAGTAAAATTAACAATTTAATCCTTATAAGAATATAAATTATTTGTAAAATGTTAAATAGGAAAAAAAATAAAAGGTAAGATGGTACGTTGAAAAAAATTCAAACAACGATAAGAATTGTTTTAAATAACATCATACTCAATAGGTATTTTTACATTTATTAGATGTAATTTACACAAAGTTGATCTGTGATGCATATAAGGCAATGATTAAGAATGTGAGAGTACCCCATGAGAGGTTGTGTAACAATTCTCATAAACTTTTTAATATTCTGATAAAGTTAAAGGTCTCATGCTTTCAAGACAAAAAACATTTGAAATTCACCATTTGTTGGATCATGGGATCCAGAGCTGTTGGATCCATGATTGCAATGAAAAGAAAACCGACGTTACCTTTGTGCCTGTCAGGAGAGATCCTCCCATCAAGCTTTGAACTAAAATTCGACTAATGATTGGAAATTGGGTTATTGGATTTTGTCACATTGTTTTGGTAGTGTGTCTGCATCCCACTTTCTGAGAAGACTAAATTTTTTAACATCTTAAAGGAAGTGTGGGGGTTCCTTCCGCTCTGGACTTTAGTTTCACAAATGCCAGAAGCCATGAAGGGGGTAGGTTTTGATCTATTTTTGCAAAAGTAACTGTGGCTTTAATGTCAGTTTCATCTGCACCTTCCCAATCTCTTAAATTCAAATAATTATAGAATAAGCAATAGTGGAAACCGAGAGGTCGGTCCTAGATGTTTTCCATGAATTTCTTCATGTTTCGTTTCACTTCGCTATCTTAGTGCTTGCATTCTGCTTTTGAAACAGAAAACTTGAAGACTTTCAGATGACCCTTTAGAGAAAAGAAAAGAATTAAAGTGTTGGAGTGGTTGGACATCAGGGCCCGGCCCTTCCATTTGCTCCACAGCTAAGGCTAAATATATATATAAAAATTTGCTGTTACATGGAAGATTCATCTAGACTTTCAAACTAGACCCACCAATTCTAGCATTTACACCGTTTCTTCAAGGGGGCCACAAGAAGAAAAATGCTTAGCCTAGAAACAAGAGGACATCCATGACCATGATCATTGAAAGGATCAAAGAAATATCATGAAAATGTATCCAAGGTTTGTTTACTCAATGTTTGAAAGTGCCAAAGTGGTGTTATCTATGGCTTTTTCAAGTGGGGAAAAGCTACGACTACGAGCACTTGCATTCGATCAAGTGCAGCAATCCTTGTCATCCTAAGATATACTATCTATATTGCTTCATAATTAAGTATTAAAGAAGCATTGTCTATGATCAAGGCAAGAAGAGAAGATATGGCTGATATTAGAATGACAGAAAGGTAGTACCTCACCATAGCAAGGAGAATAAACTAGAAGTGAATTTCAGATATGTAGTATCATTGAAAGGTTAAGGCTAGACCATCAAGTACATCACTAATAAGAAATGAGTAATATACCTCGATTGAAAATGAACACTTCTATTACTATTGCGTCACTTTTAACAGATCTCTAAAGTAAGCTCCCAGCTCCCCCCTCCAATGGTGGATACAATTAGGTATGAACACATTCTAGGAAGAATCAATTTGACCAACTTGCTGTTTTCTTACCTCTGCCAAGCAGAAGCAAAATGAATATATATGATATTCCTGGTTAAAGATAGTTTTTAGTTGACTTAGTTTGAACGCATGTGTATGTAGGATATACTGCATGTTTTAACCTCCTTTTGTGATGCAGACCTCGGTCAGATTTTAAAGCCACTAAGATATACTAAATTTCAGAGCTCTTAGATTCAGGATTATAGCAGAACAACAGAAAAAATTTATAGGAAATAGAAATTAATTTGTCAATTGTTAAAAAAAAAAAATTAACATGTTAAGATGTACTACCAATGTGATTGTAAAGAGGGGAATTGACAGGATAGCAGATCCACTCTGTAGCTAGGAAAGATGTCCACTATCTAGCTTCTACCAATGTGATAGTTACAGCAGAACGAGTACAGTATTCTTCCTTAGTGTAACAGCTGGGACATCTCTCAATGAAGAACCCCGGCTGCTTTGGCTCAGCTAGTGTTAGACCATCATTACTCAACATGAAAACAACAGCTGACATTGTTGGTCGGTCCTCCGGGGCTTTCTGTACACACAGCAGTCCAACTTGCATAAACTTCAGTAGTTCAGATTTAAAACCGGAACTTCCCAAATTGACATCCATAAGTTCCAGGGGCCTGCCCTCTTTCCACAGTATCCATGCCTGGTGGATATTGATCAAAGTCACAGTCGATATAGAATAAAACACAATGCAAAGACAATGGATTATGTTAACATTAAAATACTAAGGGATAAAAACATAAAAGTAGGTGTACTGTATGTTCTTACATGTCCTAAAAGGTTATGGTGGTGATCTGGATGCTGAAAAGCTCTATTTTTCATGCCACTTAATATCTCTAACACTATCACTCCAAAGCTGAATATATCGGATTTCACAGAGAAGAGGCCATCAATCACATACTCAGGAGACATATAACCACTGCACAGCATGATAAGCGATTGATATAAAAAATGCAATGAAAGGCAACAGCAGGACACATCTTGATACTTTGAAGCAACTTACTATGTTCCAGCAATTCTTTTGGTTTTAACTCTGGACTGATCTGCTTCAAAAATTCTAGCCATGCCAAAGTCTGAGATTTTCGGGTTCATTTCAGTGTCCAATAAAATATTGCTGGTTTTCAAATCCCGATGAATGATGGTCAGTCTTGAATCTTGATGAAGGTAAAGCAGTCCTCTTGCAATCCCCACAATAATGTCCAGCCGTCTCTTCCAACCCAGCATCTTGCTTCTTCTTGAATCTGAGCAATAATTGTGTTCAAGTCAAGCTTTCCTCTAGTAAATACATGTACAAAACAAATTTTAGACTAAAACAGAAAGTTTGGTCTGATAAATATATAGAGAGTTGGGAAGGTAAGTGACCAAAAATAAATTGATCCAGGCTCTTATTTTCCATATGTTCATAAATCAGCATCCTTTCTGCGCCTTGAGTGCAAACTCCCAAAAGTTTGACAAGGTTACGATGCTGAAGCTTTGCTACCAACATAACTTCATTTTTAAACTCTGAGATGCCTTGTTTAGAAGTTTCTGAGAGCCTTTTCACAGCTATCTCTTGCCCCTCTGCTAGTATACCCTGCAATATATTATTAGGATATCATAGTATTGCCTCAATCTGTGTAGTATACAAAGACAGATGAATTAAGAGGTCACCTTATATACCGGGCCAAAGCCACCTTCCCCAAGCTTGTTTTCACAGCAGAAACTGTCTGTAGCAGTAAGCACTGTAGCCAAACTAAACAGAGGCAATTCCAGGTTTTTGTTCAAGTTGTCTCTGGTACCTGCCACTCAGGGGGAAAAGAAAGGAAAAGAAAAAGAAAACCCAATAAAAGAGTAGCATCAGTTCCTCTCGAGCTATTGCTTCTATAATTGCTTTATTATGACAGGGTCAACTCTGTGAAACAATGCTGAGCAAAAAAAAACTCTGCGAAACAATACTAATAGTTACAAGTTGTTGCAACAGTAGTTCAAGATATTGAAGTTATCTCCTTTTCCTTTTTGCAACAATAGTTTAAGATACCGAAGTTATTTACTTTTCCTTTTTGCAACAATGGTGCCCAGTTTTTGCACTGAACAGAGAGAGCTGTCTCTAATTAGTGTCCTTTTCCAGTCTACTCATAAGTTTTGTCTCTTAATTCTACAGAATATGTGGACTAGCTTTAATATATTGCCCCTGATGGCATGAATTGAGAGTTTTACTTGGTTGAAAGAGGCTGCAGAGTCTTACCTTTGTTGTCCTTTTGTTTCCTCTCCTTGATTATGAAGCAAATAATGAAACTCACCAAGACAAGGATCCCGGAAACGACTAATATGATCACAATCATCATGGTTTGCCTTTTCTTTTTCCTATTATCGGCAATTGACTCTTGAACAAGCACCAAAAAGAAAAAATTTAAAATATAAGGAACCATATATAAAGGTCTAATTCATGAAAGGATATGTAGAGATGGTGCTTAAATAGATGAGCATAATGTACACGACGGCTTGGGATTAATGAAAAACTTCTATAACTTCAGGTCTCTTGATTTTTCAGTTATGTGTATTCAGCTTTCTGCATGTGAATTCTTGGGACATTATGAAGCATGCTGTATAAATATAGATAAGTATTTACTGGCTAACGAGGAGGCAGGTATTCTGCATCTCTATCATCTTGATCCTAAAACTCATTAGAAGGTTCTTTTCGTTCTGTTACTTTCATAAGGACACTGAAGGGCTTGACTGCTAAAAAGAAGTTTTCAAGAGATAATCTGATGCATCGCCCATCACAACATACCTATATCTGAAGCAGCCAGCCTTATATGGAGATCTTGCTCTTCCTTTTCATCATCACTAGCTTCACTAATAAACAGCCTCATATCATACAGGTCTCCAAACCAGACCAAGCAGCCCTGCCCTCCTTCAATGACATTTAAGTTCGCATAAGCTGTACATTTACAGTTTTTCAAGCATTCTTCCTTACATTCCTCAAGATTCATGTTCTCATTTGTCCAAAACTGCAGTGCATCAGGCAATTTCACCCTCCTAAGTGTCACGAAGCCATCTGGTTTCCTGCAGTCTAATTGTGTCTGCCTGATGCAGCCACCAGCCCAATTGAAAGCATCCCATTCTACCTGTGACCTAGGGATGAAGCCTGTTAAACATTCGCATAGAACAGGCAAATTGTAACTATTACAAATACTATTAGGCCCGCAGATTCCATAGTTATCACAGCGGTCTTTCCTTGCTTCGTATATGGTGATCCACTGAAGAGTTTCTTTATCCCATGCATACCGTTCAACAAAACCATTGTGGCCCATAACTAATATTGTAGTTGTGTCATCTGCACTGCCATCCATGTATGTTATTTCATTGCTATTGAAGGTGAAAGTTGGAACAAAGGCTTTAGTAGATTTCCATAAATTGGAATTAAAACCAAAACCATTCCATATTCCACTTCTGTACTTCCTGATCAATCCCTGACGAAGAACAAATTGGGGCAGAACACCAATGTCAATGCTGAAGGTGAAATTTCCAGGAGAAGGATCATCAGCACTTTTCCAAGATGTCAACTGTCGATGCAGACCAGTCTTTACATCCCAACCCAACTTCATCCCTCGCAACAGTGTATTACATGGATAATCAAAACTCTGCCACACATAACCATAAGAATTAGTATCTGTTCCATCAAAGAGAACTAAATTTCCAGAATGTAGAAGCTTTGCAGTTGGCTCTTTCATTGATCTTGCTGAATTTGATTTTGACGACCAGATGGTGTTTCCTGCTCCATCAAGAAGAATGAGATTACCATCAGCACTGACTGTTAACTGTCCATATGAATCATTTATTGGCCTTCCTCTATTTCCCACCCAAACAATCGTTTGTGGAGAAATATTCCTGTACCAAATTCCCAGATATCGATGCTTTGACTGGCTTGGACTGAAGAATCCCAGTATGAAGCTCCCTCCAGAAGAAACAAGCTCTTGGCCATCTAAAATGGATTGTTTTGAGGTTATGGTGTCAACTGCAGAACAAATTCTGCAACAACAAGATAAAGATACACAATAAACTAAAAACTTAAAAAGAAGTTCCATTTTTCCTGTTCTCATTTCTACTATAACAGACTAAACATTGAGAGCAATGATTCATCTGTCGAAAGCCGGAAAAAAGAAAATGAAAAAAACCCTGTAATCACCATCAGAATCAAAGTACCTACTTTGAAATACCACTTGATTAATAACTAATTAACACGGAACCTATTCCCATGTTTTTCAAACATAAATTGGACTATCATCTGAAGAACCGTGATTGAGATGTTTGATGTCAACTCTAAAATAAATTTAATAAAACTTATTTTGAAGATTTATGCTCAAATATTATTCTATAGCTTGGTCTTTGGAATGACTTCCATGACATTCAACCTGCTACTGACAGTAACATCATTAAACAATATTGCAGAAAGCTCAAAAACCGTGTGGTTTATGTCATGGTTTCACCTGCATTGACCAGTCACTAGAAATGAGAGGAAAAAAACTTTTAGAATTGGAGAAAAACAAAGATTAATTGTTTGTTCATCGAAACTTTCTCCCGTCAAACATTGAAAAAGGAAGGAGAAATCAAAATCTGATTCCCCATGATAAACGGTCCACACCTTCAGAATAGAGAAAGAATGTAGTCAATAAATATTAAATGGGAAGCTTCGTAAGAAGATGCTATGATACATGACATCTTGAATAAGGGATTTTTTTTCTTCTTGACCTCAATATGGTTTTATCCAATATAATAACAAACTCCGGGCTTTAGCCATCACTATATGCATAGAAGTCAATGTTTCACTTCTGCAGGAGGTATCTTATTTGAAGGTTGCCTCAAAGGCTTATGTATCTAGATGGTCAAATTGGTCTGATCAAGATATATCCCTTTCCTTGCTTCTAAACACGCCCCCCTTAATGTCAACACATTTCACAAGCATGCAAAGGCTGTAAATACTGCCATTAAAGAACACAGAAGAAAACAGATAAAAGAAGATGACAGAAAGCTAAGAAGAGTTGAATTGATAACCTATTCATTAAATGCAGTATGATTCAAAGGCTTGAACTTGAATTTGACATTTAAAGAACAAAGCTTTCATCACCTAACCACAAAAGTGTGTAAACCACAAAAGTGTGTACAAAGCAACTATCACATCGGAACATGCATAGATTGCTTGTTTCATCAAGGACTGCTCAGTATGCAGTCTGTTCTTAAACAAAAACTAACATCTTAGTCTAACACACCTGACACAAGCTTCCAAAAGTATTCCAAGCAAATTTTAAGTACAACACTTAACTTGAAGTAAGTCAATGAGAGATTAAGAACGCAATTGCAATTGTTGTCTGCATTTGGTTTGGCATAGACACATTTATTCAAGATAAAGACTTTGCTTGATGATTTTATATTTTTCTCCACTTACCTATGGACATTAATGCTGTCGATGTTCTTCGAATTTCTGGGTATGAAACTTTTTTCATTCGAGACTTTATAGTTACAGTTGCTGGTAACAGGTTGAAAGTTTAAAGACATGAATGTATCTCACTAAAATATCTTTTGTAAAAAGACGAAAACATATTTTCTTCATTATTTACAAATTTAAGAATTTGGAGGAAAAGAGTGGTGACTATTCAGCCATGTCTTCAATCGAAATTTCAAACATACAGAAGTAGAATTACTTTCTATCTACCCTGCAGCATTGAAATAGTTATTTCATTCGAGTTGCGTGGCATCTTTCCGGTTGATGAAGTATCGGTCACTGTTAAAAATCTTTCTGTATAAAATCCAGGTTGTTTAGGTTGAGGAAGAGAAGGATTCTCCCTGTCCAACATCAGGAGAACTGATGACATTGTAGGCCTGTCTTCAGGTCGTTGCTGTACACACAGGAGACCCACTTGGATACACCTTAACACTTCTAGGGTGGAAACTGGCTTCTCCATGAAAGGGTCAATCAGTTCCATGGGCGTGCCTCCATTCCACAATTTCCATGCCTACCAGTACAAAAACACTTTCACGTGGGAATTTAATGCAGAATGTTTAAAATTGAAACTACCTTAGGTACTTCTAAGAGTTTCAAGTCTAGGAAACCTTTTGATAGCAGCATGGGTGTAAATGTGCTGCAGACAATGACATGGAGCATTAAGGGTTGCCTTCTGTAATTATTAATTCTTGTCTTGTCGTTGGGAACAAATGCAGAAGTGCTTTCTGCTTTCTACATAATGTAAGTACTCAAACGTGTTGTTGACTTTTTGGTGTATACGAGTCTTTAATACAGTCAGCTCATCTATGGCTTAAGAGAGTCGGTTCTACTTCGATATATTTTCATTTTTTTTATATCACAGCCCCGTAGGCCAAGAAAAACCGGAGAGCTCCAAAGCAAGAGAACCTTGAAACTCAGACATGGCATCCACTAGTTTTCCTGCCATCATGCCACCGATATTTTCCGGTGAAAACTATGCCATTTGGGCAGTAAAAATGAAAACTTACCTAAGGGCCTTTGACCTTTGGGAAGTAGTGGAGATGGGAGGAGAGCCACCCGTCATGAAGGCAAACCCCACCATTGCCCAAATGAAGCAGCACAGTGAGAAGGTTGCCAAGCATTACAAGGCTCTCTCATGCCTGCATTCTGCTGTCACTGATCAGATCTTTACGAAGATCAAGGCTTGCGAGACTGCTAAGGAAGCGTGGGAGAAGCTCAGAGAGGAATTCCAAGGGAGCAAAAGAACAAGGCAAATACAAGTTTTGAATCTCCTAAGAGAGTTCGAACTACTGAAGATGAAGGAGTCTGAAAATATAAAGGATTATACGGAGAAGGCTATGGGCATTGTCAACAAGTTGAGGCTGTTAAATGAGGATTTACCTGAAAGAAGGGTAGTTTACAAGATGTTTGTCAGTTTACCCTAAAAATTTGAGCCCAAGCTCTGCTCAATTGAGCAATCAAAGGATTTGTCAAAACTCTCTCTAACGGAGCTGGTAAATGGTCTTCAAGCCGTCGAGCAAAGGTGGGCTCTAAGACAAGAAGAAAATACCCAAGGTGCCTTCCGAGCAACAAGCTGGGAATAAAAAGTGGAAATAAAAAGATGGAAATAAGTCACAATAAGATGGAAATAAAAAGCAGTGACACCAGAAAATTAGGCAAGAAGGGTCGGTTTCCACCTTGCCCTCACTGCAAGAAACAAAACCGCAGTGAAAACCACTGCTGGTATAGGCCAAACTGAAGTGAAGAAGCTGTCACCAGCTTGGTTACGTGGAGAAATTGCGCAAAAACAAAGGTTCACTAAATGACCCCAACACTGAAACTATTTAGGTACTTCCTAAAGTTTCAAGTCTAGGAAACTTTTTGATAGCAGCATGGATTTAAAGGTCTGCTTTAGGCGTTGCAGACAATGTTTTGGAGCATTAAGGCTTCCCTTTTGTAACTATTTTTACTTGGCTTATTTCTAGGAGCTATGCAGAAGTGCTTTCTGCTTTCTGTCTAATGTCAGTACCTAAACAAGTGTTGTTGACTTTTTTGTGTTTTGACTTTTTTTGTGTTTATAAGTCTTTAATGCAGCAATGAAAAAGGCCAGCTCAGTTTATGGCTTAACAGAGTCGGTTCTACTTTGATATATTTTCATCTTTTTCTTCATCTTTCTACAATTGTTTAAGAAACTAAAGCAGGCTACCAAGAAAAGAAAAGGTTCATATCTAAACTCACATGTCCTAGAAGGTTGAGGTCATGGTCAGGATGATAAAATCCTCTGTTCCTCTTTCCACTGACAATCTCTAAAACCAGCACACCGAAGCTGAATACATCAGACTTCACTGAAAAATGACCCTCCATTGCATATTCAGGAGACATGTATCCACTGCATACAATCAACAAAGAAAATTATTGTAGGCCATTGTAACAATATATACAGTCTTTAGGGAGAGAGAGAGAGAGGGAGAGGCTGTTTAACGTACTAAGTTCCAATGATCCTAGATGTGTTTGCTTCTGATTGATCACCTCCAAACGTTCTTGCCAAGCCGAAGTCTGATATTCTAGGGTTCATCTCACCATCTAGGAGAATGTTGCTGGCTTTAAGGTCCCTATGAATGATTCTAAGCCTTGAATCTCGATGAAGATAGAGAAGCCCTCTAGCAATCCCATTTATTATGTCATATCTATTCTGCCAATTTAGTGAAGTACCCCTTGTTTTATCTGTCCAAGTTCGTCTAAGTTAGGAACTCAAATATACAAGAAAAAACCAATGTAAAAAGGAAATAGCAAGATGAGCTAACCAAAAATATAGCGATCCAAACTTCTGTTGGGCATGTATTCATAAATTAGCATTCTCTCTTCCCCATAAATGCAGCATCCCAAGAGTCTAACAAGATTCCGGTGCTGCAGTTTTGCAATGAATATAACCTCATTCTTGAACTCAGTCAGCCCTTGCCCTGAATCTTTCGAAAGCCTCTTCACAGCAATTTCTTGCCCTGTTTTGAGCTTACCCTATAAACATAAAATTGAATACATCTGATTTTTAACTTTTTGCAATGAAAACCAATTTATCTTTTAGACATGTGCAGGAATATTACCCTGTAAACAGGACCAAAGCCACCTTCACCAATCTTATTTGTGAAAGCAAAGTCATTGGTGGCAGATGCAACTGTTAGCCAGTCAAATAATGGTAAGTCCAGATCTTCTTCCTCAGGATTAGGATGAAATTCATGCGGATTGTTCATTTCCTGGGCTGTCAAATTTAGAAACTCAGTTTATATGCACATGCGTGTCATTCAGTGAACTTGTCCCCCCCCTTTTTTTAAGTCAAATTGAAGTTAATGCCATTTCAGATAAACTGAGGCTAATTCCAAGCTTGGTGTGCCTCAAGAAACAAAATCTTCCCATGATTTCTCTGCATGCTGGTTCTATTCCATGTTTAAATACTCCTAACATGAAGTGCATCTACGTGAGTTAGGTGAATTTCCAATGTCAATGTGTCATTTTTTTGACCATTGAAACTATGTAGCAATTAAATTTACCTGGACTCTTCTTCAAGCCTCGCTTTCGAGTAAGATAGCACCAGGTTAATGTCATCAGCAACAGAACTCCTGAAACTACCGATATGGAGATGATCACAGCCCTTCGTTTGCCATTCTTATTGGATTCTTTACACATCCACCGCACACAAAGAAAAGGCAAACGATAAGCAAAGTAAGGGTCAATCAGTATAAATTCGAGTCATTTTCGACCAAGACATGTTGCCGTTAGAATTGAACCTTTTGGGTACATGCTAAGGTCAGTAAAGAAAGCCCGAATCGAAATGAACCCTTTTTTCTTTGTCCATTTTTTATTTAGTTCTTGATTTCCTTTTCCAAGTTTCCTACTAAGCCAATTCAACACCAATGCGTGGTTGATTTGGCTTTGGACTCACAATTAAGTATATAATAAGTACTGATTAATAAATATGCTTAAAAGTTATCGTATCATGCTAGAATATGTACAGCCTGATGTAATGCAAATGGACTTTGGTGTTAATTAGTAATAATGCAAGCCAGCATGTCTCAATCAAAACAGATAGAAAAATATGAATCAAACAATCTTAATTTTTTTTAAAGTGATTTTATTCAATTTCAATACTGAAATGTTATTTTAAGTCTCTTGTCTGACCATAGATTTTCATGGCATCAGACTCCCATGCTATTTCAACCCTAAATCTATTCCAACATTTGTTAAACATATGTAATCTAACATTGTTAAAAAAAAAAAGGTAAATTGAAATTACCAATCTAGAGATGAACTTTGTAAATGTGAACAAATCATGCATATTGCAAAAAAAAAAAAAAGGTACAGAAGAAGAAATTTAATGTAATTTTGATAAGGTTTACTATATTTTATCTAGAAAAAATGTTTTTAATTAGGTAAAAAAGGATTTATGATGTCACAGCCAAGAGAAACCACTAAAAACTTGGGTCAGATTCATAGAATAACACCTACCAAACTCTGAAGCATCCATCCTGACATACAGATCCTGCCCATATTCCTCTCGGCTATACTGTCTAATATCTATCAAACTCCCAAACCACATCACACATCCACTAACCTCAACCTTAGCATAAGCTACGCAGGAACAGTTCCTCAAGCAAGCCTGCTCACACTCCAATCTAGTCATCGTAGAGTTACTGTCCAAAATCTCTGAATGGTCTGGCAACTTCAGACCCGTAAACTTAAAGAACTTTGTGGCCGAGCTACAATTCCAGGAAGTCCTTGCAACACACCCTTCAGACCAATCTAAAGCATTCCAGTCTTGTGGCACTCTTGGGGTAAACCCAAACGGACAATAGCAAACAGAATCCCTGTTTATGTCGCAAAATCCATTAGGACCGCAAAGAGCGTACTCGTCGCATCGGACAGTCTGCATAATCATTATTACTGCCCACTCATCACGCCTGTCGTTCCATGTTAGATGTTCAACCACACCTGACTGGTTCAACACAAATCTTGAAATGGTATTCTTGTCAAGGTTTTCAAATGAATAGTAAATCAACTCGGCATTGCTAACAAAAAGAGGATTGAAAACTGCGTTTTCTTCAAATCTACGGCTGCCACCAAATCGGAGACCATCCCAAGGGCCACTTCGATACAATATTTCTGTTCCTTTGCGAACAAATAACTCTGGAAGACCCTGATGGTCAACTTTGTATGTATAATCCCCTGTAGATGGATCCTGAAGACTTCTCCAAGAACTAAGGTACCAGCCGTCGCCAGTTTGTAGATTCCATCCGAGTTTCATGCCTTGTATCAATGTGTCACAGGGATGATCAAAGCTTTGCCATATATAGTTTTCACCGGAAACATCTTTGACAACAAGGTTCCCTGTGTCTAGGAGCTGCAAAACTGGATTATTTGAGCTTGTCGATGAATTTGAAAACCAGACAGGGTTGCTTGATTGGTTTCTCAGGATGATAACGTTACCGGTGGCAGTGATCATAAGGACACCAGAAGAATCTGTAAGCGGGTTGTTTTTGTTGGCCAACCAAAAAACTGTTTGTTGTGGAACGTTTTTAAACCATATTCCAATGTATCGATAGTTTGAATTCCAGGGACTGAAGAAGCCTAATTCAAAGTGTCCACCTGCAGAAACAAGAGTTTCACCAGTGTCTGTTAGATTCTGGTTTGGAGCTATGGTGTCAATGGCTAAGGAGGGTTTCAAGAGGAAGGAGAGCAAGATGAAACAGATGAAAATGGAGAGACGAGCCTCCATAGATGATGCCAGTTACATTGCTTGAACATAACGCTTATTTGAATAGTAATGAAGGATTCAGAGAGGGAATAATTGACTAGTACATAAATTAAGGTTGTTCCTGAAGACAAGGAGTATTCATATTGTCTACGTTCCTGCAGGTCATTCACACAGAAGACGAAGTCAATGGGTTCCTTCTAGGAAGAGAATGGGCTCGACCTACTCCATTAAGAATTAGAATATCTTATTCTTTTGTACTCCACTTATGCACAAGCCTCTTTCATGCCAACAAGTCTTTAGCAAAGCGATAAAGACTTTGGTTGGCATGAAGTCTTAGTGCTAATAAAATCACTTTTCAAAAAAAAAAAAAAGAATTAGAATATCTCTATTGCA